CTGGGGTTATTCCTCCCCAGGTGCAGGACCTTGCACTTGGCCTTGTTGAATTGCATGAGGTTTTTCACTGCCCAGTTGTCCAGTCTGTCCAGGTCCCTCTGGATGGCAGCGCAGCCCTCTGAGGTATCAGCTACTCCTCCCAGTTTGGTATCATCAGCAAACTTGCTGAGGGAGCACTGTGTGCCTTCATCCAGGTCATTGATGAGTAAATTGAACAGGGCTGGACCAAGGACTGACAATTGAAATATAACATCTGATACTGAAACTCCTTGTTCTTATGGTCATCCCCCGAATGCATTCATTAAATTCAAAATTCCCTCAGTTATCTAAATGTACTCATTTTCCCTGTAATTTTCCAATAACTGCATTTAAGAAGTATGATAGAAGGTGAGTTCCATATTCTGCAGTATGGCATTTTTATAGTAGCATATAAAATAAAAGAATTATCCAGCATAGTTTTTTGGGTGGTGTTTTTTTATTATTATTATTTTTTATTATTATTATTATTTTTTTTATGATGATGATGATGAAATTACCCTGGGGGGGAGAGAGAGTCCCCCAAGAATGTAATGACTCCCTCTGGGAAGAAAATCATTATACTATATTTATGATTTCTTTTTTTTTTAATTTGGAATAATCAGTTCTATGTGTTTTCTTCTGATGTCACGATATTATAGCTTCTGTTTCTGAGAGTTTGGTCACTTAATTTTCCTGCTGTCATGTCATCACCAAAATAGAAATCTATCTGTTAATAGATAGATTAATCTGTTAATCTATTCTGGAAAGAAGCCTGTAAAAATTATCTGTACTACTTGTCTTTGCCCCAGAATTCATGCCAAGCAGTGTTATATTTCTGTGTGTTGATCTCACTTTCATTCTCTTTGTTTTGTTTTGTTTTGTATTTCATTCCTATCTAGCAGTAAAGGTGGTCAATATCTGCCCTGTTTTCTGGCTGCATGACTGCCCCTGTCGTCTCTATGTTTGTGTTCGCAGTTCCCGCCGAGAACGTTGCAACCATCGCAGACTGCGCCAGCGTGATCGAGGGCGTGAGCCGGAGCCGCAACGCCTTGCTCAACGGAGACACCAAAAACTATGACTGGGACTCGGGCTACACGTGCCACCAGCTGGGCAGCGGAGCCATCGTCGTGCAGCTCGCACAGCCCTACATGATTGGATCCATACGGTGAGGGCTGCCTCCTGCCCAAACGAAGGGCAGCTGTGAGGCCCACTGAGTGCAGTTGTTTTCTTTGGAATATGCGACTTTTGGATGTGGTGATAATTAGGGGGCAGTTTGTGTTATCGGCATTTGGATTTTTGCTTTGGTGTAATCGGCAAGTTAAATATACTGTTAAATTTGGTGTCAGGATACAGTGATGCAATTCCAGAAAAATGCATTTCAGAAGTATAGTAATAGCAATATTAAAATTTTGATATTAAGGATGTAAAATTATTTATTATGCTAAAGTAAAAATTTAACTGCAGCCTCGCTTGTGGTAAAAATAGATACAGTTCCTCTGCCGTATGCATCTCATTATGAGAACAGAAGCATTTATTGAAGAAAGCCATCATCTCCGTGTCAGACCTGCTTGCACCTAGCTTGCTTTTTCACTATGCAGTTAGTTCCAGCCCTTACTTGAAAAAGGAATGCTTACTAAGGACGCAGTAACCTGAATATTACTTTACAAAGACGGCTTAATGAGTGTGCTTAGATCTAGAATGAAGTTCAGTGAGCTTTTTCTGCAGTAAAGGCCCATGTCTGCATGGAGAACAAAGTTTTACCCAAAGCAGAAGCTTCTTGCTTCTTCAGTTCATCCTTCTGCTTCCCTTTGTTTTGGGCTTTGAAAATAGATTGGAGTGTAGAACAGTTCCCAACTGAAGCAAAAAAATCTTGCCAACTTCAGATCCACTGGCTGTAAAATGAGTGTTTTATTTCATAAAATCAGACATAGAAATCCCTGTCTTAATGTTTAATGTTCTCTGTAAACTTAGAAGATGTGTTGTCAGGAGCTGAATTTATACTCTCTGTGGCAATGAAGAAAAAAGCAGGGAAGCTTTTGGAAATTACAGTGCCAGCAAGAGAATTTGGGAACGTCAGCCTAAGTGCTGGTTGGTAGCAGAGGCTCTCTGCATAAGTATCTATTGCTAGAAGGCAGTGCCGTGCCTTCTTTCTGTCAGAATAGACAACTGACTGATTAGCAAGTGAGATTTGAAATACATTGTGAAACTACCCGTTTTTTTGTCTGAAATATTTGCCCATATTTAAGAAGAATATCAGCAGAGGTGTAGAAAAATGTCCAAGACAATGGCAGTTCTTCGATCCCCCCTCTTTTGTATTCAGACTATATTTGCTTTCAAAAGGAGAATTCTTGAAGATAATTTTCCTAAAAATAAGTGCAGAACTGACATACTTTTTTTACTTATACTAGCCCTGAATCTTGAAAAGTGAAGAAAGTAATTGCTACCCACTTCAAAAGCTGTGTGTTTTCGTTTCAGCTGGTGATGTTATTACCATTATAAAACTTGGAGGATAGAGTTTAAAATCAGACATCTAGGTAAATCCTTAATCGGAAAAAACAGAACTGTTTGTCTGTTTACCAGCATATAGAAGTTACCCACAATGAGAGTCTCACTGCATGAAACAAGTTAAATAAAAGTACATTTAAATAAAAAGTATAGGTAGTGATTTTCCACAGTAAATATTTTATGCTTTAGAGTTTGTTTTTAATATTCTGCTAAGTATTGAATCTCAACTGAAGAACTGGAAGACACAGTACTCGGATTTCTTAGGAAAGATAATTGAAAAATAATTATGTCATTTTCATGCTTTTTTGGACTTAAATTTAAGTAGCAGCAGAGACTTGACCATGTGAGGGACTAAAAGAGTTTTTTAACTGATATGTAGCATCTATGACTGGTGCTAAGGTCAAATTGCATATAAATCACAGAAGCTCCTCTTCTCACTGCAAGACGACAAGAACACGGTACATATTTAGAGGCGTTTGTTTTGTTTGTTTGTTTTTTTAAACAGAAGAGAACCTTGCACAAATATTTAAATTCTGTTCCTTGCTTTTTTTTTCCTGTTGTCTGCTTGCCTGAAAACTCCTTTAATCTCATCTTTCTGGGAAAAAAATTTCCAAGAGTATTTTCGCTAGCCATGCACAGTCCACCCACAGAGTATCCACAGAGTTGCTCTGCTCCCAGAAACTGAGTCGTCCTGTCTGTGGGTTTAGGTTATATATCAATAATTAGAAGTTAAAGTATGAATATAGCTGTATCTGAGAAAATATGTGAGCCTTTGGAACAAGGGTAGTAGATATTTGTGTTGTGCAGAAATCAGCAGGGTCCTGGAGAGAGCTTCTAAGAGTCAGAAAGTTACCACAGCAGCTGAGTCCTGAGTACTGCATAAAGCAGGAGGATGGCTGAAACTCCAAAATGCATCAGATAGGCATAGAGAACTAAATGTTTCAGGAAGGCATCTTGTCTGAATGATTTCTGCAAAACTTATCCATTTGTCTTAGTATCACAGAATCCTTCAGGTTGGAAGGGACTTGAGGAAGTCACCTATTCCAACTTCTTCCTGAATGTAGGGTCAGCTACCATGAAATAAGACCATCCTGCTCAGAGTTTTAGGTAGTCAAGTCTGGAGAACCTTCAAGGACAGAAATACCACGACTTTTGGGGGGAGCTGTAGCACTGCTTATTTATCCTCACAGTGTAACTTTTTTTTTCTTTTGTGTATTTTTTTTCTTCTGTCCACCAAGGCTCCCATGTCCTTTTCAGAAGAGGGAGCCAGACCTTAGCCTGCTCTACTGTAGTGGATTGGTCTGTACTGGGTGCAGGATTTTGCTTTTGTCCCTGCTGAATTTCCAGTGGTTCCTGCTTACCTGTTCCTCTGGTCTATCTAGCAGCTAGGAGCCAGCTCATCTGAATGTTAGCTGTACCCATGGCTGTTTGTTTATTGCATCCCACTGTTTACTGCTTTTCTGGGAGTATGGTGAAGTCTCATTCTGTCTCCTTCTTCAGATATTTGATAACAATACTAAATAGTAAACGTTAAAAGCATGGGTCTCAGAATACCTCTGGGAGAACTCCATTTGCAGTGAACCTGTAAGTTACCGAACATTAACCAGTGCTCTTTGAGCAAATGATCTGGCCTCTTTTCACCCCTCTAGTGGTCCACCCATCTAGACTATAACATCCCAGCTTGGATGCAGTGATGCTTTGGGAGATTATGTTGAAACCTCACTAATGCCAAATACATAAAGTACTTGTTTGTAACTTGAGTGCTCTTGACTTCTGCATCAGAACTTATTCATGACTGCTAAAACAGATGTAATGATAGCCCTTACCAGAAAAGACCTGGAAAACATTTTGTTTAAAATAATTATAACTAAATATCATGCTCTAGCCTTATAAGAGTTAAAAACATTTTATAAATAGAGAGACTTATTCTTTTATTAAGACTTTCACCTGGGACGTATTACAAAATAATTGGAACAGTTAAAAGACAGAGAAAATAAATTACTTTGTTTTAGCTAGTTTTCCCATGTTGTCACTTGCCTTGAAAGAAAATAACCTTCCTATTTTTCTTCTCTGAAAAGGCCTTTATCAATGACAGAAAAAAATATTATGTTTAACTAGGAAAAAACGCACAGCAATTGAAGTGTTTATCATGGTAAATATAATTTAAATGCCTTTTATTTAACTGTTCAATGGGTAAAACTTAAGTACTGAAAAGTCTGCAATATCAAAATACCTGTCTCTTATTTACTAACACGGTCTAACTTAGCATTTTATTATTATATGGGATGTTTTAGGAAGATGGGCAATTTTACAGTGACCAGATGTATTTTTAGTGAGTATAGTTTTGTTGAAAACGTCAGAACATTCTCCTTCCAGCCATTCTGTAGCCATCCCAGGAAAGCATAGCTTTTTTGCCAAAGTTTATCCTGGTAGTTTGCCTGCAATGTGTTTGAAATATTAGAGTCCGTGACATAAAATGGTGGCCCTTGTGCCCAGTATGTGCTGGTGAATATTCATTAAGCACCTGGTAGATTTTTGTTGTTGCTCAGGAAAAGCTTTTCATGCAGACTAAATTCCAAAGAGGTTTCATAGTCAGTCTCCCCCTCCCCTCTTTCTCGTACTAAAGATATTGGAGAGAGGTGAAGCTAGATGCTATATGCTTTTCCCAAGCCATTTAACTTGGGTTGGTGGTGGTGAGAGAGAACCATTTATGCCTGCTTAAAAAGAAGATACGTGTCCTCTTTGCTCTAGAACCGACTCAGTTGTGTTTTAATTACAGTATTGTTGGTTAAAATTAAAGCATGCCCCTAGCATGCTTCTGAACTTCAAACTCTTGATCATACCTTTGAAAACCTGGATCAAGGAAACACCACTGAGCCCCCAGTGACGAAAAAGATCCTATTGGAAAACATGATTACCTACATTTTAATTGCCCTTTTTTAAAGAAAACAATTTATGTAGGTTTTGCATTTCCTTTTTTGTGTCATTTAAAAGACTTAGCCCAAATTTAGATGTCAAATCAATTCTATATGTGTTATTAGTAGCTACTAAATTCAGAATTTTTGTCTGTAAGCTTTCAGATTTTTTAAATAGAAAATCTACTGCATTCAATCTTTTTAGTATTTGCAAACCTTCAAGTTGTAGACAAGTGGAATGTGGAGGATCTGATGAAGCAGAGTTCTAACCAAGTGTTGTATGATACTCTGGAGATCTCTATTTTTTTATTAAATTAGCTCTGAAAATTTAATTTGCAAATAGATGGTATTAATATGGGCTGAAAAGCCTTCTTAAACATTTTATTTTAGCTTCTAAAGCTATTGCTGGTAGCTTATTGTTTTTTGTAATATTAGTGAACTAGATTCAGTTGAAAGCATCCCTATAGCGTACTTTAAATCTGCTTGTCCAGCAGACCTGACTGCATTTTGAATGCTGTGTTTCCAGAATGGGGAATAAAGAACTAGATCAGATTGTTTTGAACAGAAGTAGCAGCCCTTTCTTTCTAGGGCAAAGATGCAGGCATGCATGTCCTTGATAAATTAATTCCTAAGACAGTCCAGCTTCTGCTTTGGACAGCATTTCCCTGGAAGAGTGAGGATTCTGTGTTGGGCCACTAGCTAGGTCATTTTTCTCCCTCTGGCACTCTTGTTTATTAATGTTAAAGGTGAGCAATAGCTCTTGCAGTTATGTTCCTCACAGCAGAGGTAGGAGCTGAAAGCAAGAAAATATTTTCTCACCTGGGAAAGGGGAATTTAGAACATGAAACTCAGGCTTGTGAGACGTAGTTGGAGACAAACCGAAACTTTGTGCCTAGGAAAGTTTGTAGAGTGGCACAAGTTTCTTCCCTTTTCAAATATTTCCCAGCGATCTTCATTGATAGTCCACAGATCCTCTGAGCAGTGTGGATCTTCCTAAGTTCTTTCTCACACCAGAGGAACCCCGTTTGGCCGTGTTGTCTGGATTTCAGTTCTCTATTTGTGGCTGTAGTTTATTCTGTTAGGTCATCAGAGTAGTTGGAGGTTTTCTTGGATGGTTAGTTGTGCTTTGGCTATTTGACAGGAGCAGGTCATTGACTTCTCTGAGAGTGCATTTTTTCTGGGAATAGTAAATGCAGCATGCTGGTTTGGTCTTCAGCTGCCTTTAACTCAAATAGGAAAGATTTTTGAGATTTTGTTTTAATATCACTGGTGCTGTTGAGTTTACATGAAAACTGTGACAACATTAATCAGTGATCTAAATTGTACCCTTCTGATCCATGGAATGAAACCAGCCAAGGCATTTATGTAAAATGGAAGCAAATCACCTCTTGTAATGAAAAAAATGATAAATATTTCACTGCTTCTAAAGAAGAATCTACAGAAGCGTCTGGCAATGTTTAGATCAGTCCCTTGCCCCTCTGAAGTCTGTAGCTACCCTCTTACCCTACAAAGATGCTTCACTGGATATAAAGGTGCTGCATATCCGTATTGGTTCCCAAACTTGCTGTGAAAACTATTATCAGTCATCTTTGCTAGAGAGGACATTCTGTGCTGGACTTTTTTTCCTTAAATGCATATGTTTTGATTCCATGTGCAACTCCAGGCTGGGGAGAGGTTCTTGGTCTTACTGTGAGTATCATGCTGCTTTCTTTAAGACATATCTTTAGAAACAAAACAAAATCAAGGAATGATACTGGGAGCTCAGATAACTGTTACAAAAAAGAGGTAATCCCCATTTAAGAGATAAGAGTAGAGAGGTTACAATTTATAGGAACAATGACTAGATATGTCTTTTGAAAAAGATCCTGATGTGTTCTCTTCTGTGGAACAATGCTGGAAACTGAAGGCTAATTTTTACTATATCCCTTGAGGTACCTCCTGAAGGGTTGCATATTCATGAGGATGAATGTGGAGTAAATCCTTGGGGTTTTTTGTTTAAGAACTTTGTCAACAATTCAAATACCTTTTTCCTCATTTTGTGATAAACTGGGCTTAGGAATTCTATTTTCTCATTATTTGTCTTATTTTACCATGTCTGGTATGTTTATCAAAAAAAAAAAAAGGGATGAAAATAAGAAGACAATGTCTTTTTTAGTCACAAGTATATGGATTTTTTTTTCTTTCTCCTCTTACATTGTCCTTCCCGACCAGATTTTTTATTCAGGTTTAAAGCAGGCCATTCCACATTGCCAAATAAATTAGTTCATTGACTTTCAAATAAGTTAGAAGTAATTGGATGAATGTCATAGAATAATGCTAGTAAGATGGATATTAGCCTTAGGATAATGAGTGTAGAGACAGTCAAGTTTGAGATGACAGAAGCAGTTAGGACCTTGTTAAATATTACAGGCACATTAAAAAAAGAAACAACTAAATTTAGAAAGCTTTAATAAGAGAAAAACGAAGGACTAAACTTGAGTAGCTTGGTTAACATTCATTGTACTCACCACTCAACTGCTTCTTCCTATTTAGGTTGCTACTTTGGGACTGTGATGATCGGAGCTACAGCTACTACATTGAGGTTTCAACAAATCAGCAGCAATGGACGATGGTGGCTGATCGTACAAAAATTTCCTGCAAGTGAGTTTATTCTTTTTCCGCTTATTTCCCCAAAGGAGGAGCTAGAAACTGGAACTTCCTTTTGTTTAGTAGTTACATAGCTGACATTGACTGTAAATGTTTTTTACATAACCTGTATCTTACGAACTCTAAGCCCTTCTAAATTTTTTTTTTGAAGTAGAAGCTTTTAGTGTGGCTGAATATCCAGGCTTTAAAAAGTTACATAGCTGACATTGACTGTAAATATGATTTTTACATAACCTCTATCTTCCTAACTCTAAACTCTTCTAAATTTTTTTTTAAAGTAGAAGCTTTTAGTGTGCCTGAATATCTGGACTTTAAAGCTGTTCTGAAAAAACAAGTTTCTGAAAAAGATCAAGTTCTGAAGATTCAGATCATTATTGTATTTTTTCCAGTTTGACTGTTCATTCTCAGAAGCAATCTGACTACTATGGCTTTATTTTTGTGATCCCCCAAATTTAACCAAGTTTCCTGAGTTTCAATGTGTTTATATTAACAGTGGTGCTAAATCATCCCTCCTGGAGAAAGATGGGGGAGAGGAAAGGAAGCTTGCTTGGTAAAGGATTATTTCTAACCAAGTACATTTCATCCTTAGCAAAGCACATAGGCACACTGTACTTCTGGAGGGACTAGGTGAAAGGGGCAGGGCAGGGAAGAAGACCAAACCAAAACGGACCAACAGCTGAACTCAGTTGCTTAAAGTCAACCTTGCTTTCATGATGTGTTCAGTGCGTATAGTCCAGGTAGTCTTGCTTTTTCTTGCAGAGAAAAACACTCTTCTAAAAAGAACTAAAACCAGAGAAACCATTTCATTTTTACTTGTATACATCAGTCAGGGGAATTCTAGTCCCCCTCTGCATTCATGTGCTCTCTATTGGCTTGTCTGTAATTATTGGGTCTCCTGATAAAAGCTGTTGTTTTGTCCGGAAGAGTAATTGAGTGCAGATAGCCCCAATAGCTCTCTCAAACCATGTGATAGTACTAATGCTATGTAAAGAATGATGCATATACCTGTGGTGGGATTGAAGACAGACTGCAAATTAATACGTACTGCATATCCAAAAGCCAGGCAGCATTCAGCGAATATTGGTGGCATATGATCTTCTAGGTGATCCTTAGGGAAGCTCAAACCTATAAAAATCTTCTTTCCCTCCTGTTTCTTCAGTCACTTTCCCATAAGACACCCTTTCTCGTGTGGGATGAAATTGAAGTTCTCAGCTCAGATAGGGACGATCACTGTCTGTCCTGTATTTTTGTGAACCAAACCAAAATGGAATTTACGAATTGACAGAGATATATATCACATTTGTCACACTGGACAAGAGAGCTATTCAGTCTTTTCTGGCTGAATATACACTGCTGATACACGTTTTCTAAGGTTTATATTCTATCTCTTAACAGATGTTAAAAATCAAACATGCATTTCAATGTGGTCTAGACATGGTAACAAAAGAGAACTAGACATGTGCTTTTAATGTCTGTAAAGGACAGGATATTGATGATGAGAAATCCTGGCTTCTATCTGCAGCTCTGGAGACTGAAGGAGATTTAATCATTCTCAAAAGCATCCCAGGGCAGTGGGTAAGAGGGATCCTTTTGTCTGCTCCCAACAGTAGGAACACTAAAGCGCCAACACTGGAGCGGAGGCAGGGGAAGAGCTTTTTGCACTTGTCCTTTAGACATATTCGTACCAATAGATCATAGCAGTCAAAAAGAACAGTTATTTAAGTATGCACAGCATAGCTGGAATTGCTTGTTGGCTATCAAATTCAAGGTAGTATCTACTGACCATTTTCAAACCAGTCATTTTTGAAGGCCTTAACTCGATAAACATGGGGAAATAGAGATAACTGCTTTTTTGTGATAAACTTCACGATCTTGATTCAAAACATAGGTCCTCTAGACATTCTGAAAGTAGTGGCTGCAGGAGCTATTTTCATGTGAATTAGAGAATTGTATTTTCTCTCATTTTGTGCCCTGAAACACAAGCATTCAGCTTTTAAAATGCCAGTTTTCACATTTTAAGTCATATTGTCGCATTTAAGATAATGTCGCATAAAGTCACATTTAAGATAATGACTCTGAACAGGGTCAGGTAGTGGAAAATGTGTAATATTAAGCTATATATATATAGTATATATAGTGTATATAGTGTGTGTGTGTGTATATATATATATATACACACACACTATCTGTATTCATTTGTGCTAAACAAGTTCAAAGACCTAGTCCTAAAGCTGGCAATTAGAAAAGCTCTCTGGACACAAGAAAAATTCAATTTATAGCGAATTAAAAATATATGTATAAAGAGAAGTGAGCAGTTTGAGACATCTTGCTTCCCTTTGAAAGTTTTCTACCTGATGCAGTTATATTTAAATACTATGTTACTTCTATCAGATAGAAGTTAAAATGCTGGTGCCATTCCCCCTCCATTACCCATATTCAGTCAGTTTCTTTGCTTTTGAAAGCATCTTTTTTGTGTATTTTATTTATATATCTTGCTCTTTACCATCAGTAAATCAGACTTTTGTTTTACAGCAACGCAGCACAGTAAAGAAAACCCTTTAAATATGTGGGGGGTTTTTTCAGTCAGATTTTCAAAAGTGCTGAAATGACTTAAGCTAAAAAATTACTTTGATTGTAATGGCAGGTTGATAAGCCTAAATTCTCTTGAAGGTCTACCTTCAAGACGTAGATAAGACGTAGATTGGTTAACTTGCCTACTGAGTTTTATTACCTGGTCAATCTCTTCAGAAGATAAGCAGAGCTAGGTCCAACAACCTGAAAGATTGTTTCAACAGAAACTGATTTTAAAGAATATTGATATATTTAATACATATTAAGTGCTTTCAAAATGCCAACCGAATAAATCAATATGCAACACAAATAATATTGTTTAACCTGTAATGTGAGGATAGTATTTCTATTCTTTGTGGATATCTGAGGATTAGTCAGTTAAGTACTGGGTAAATGCTGAATGCTAGTAGTGTTAGGACTTTTTTTGGTGAAGTACAGGAGATCATGTTTTAAAGTAGTCAGAGATGGAGCACTTCATAGGATTGATTGAGTTTGAAAAATACTGAAAAGCGTTGCTGTGTCCAAAAAAAATTTTTTTTCTCTTACAGCAGCTATGCTCTTAGTGCTCTAAAATAATTAAATGTGGAATAGTTTTTTGGAGGAGATGTCATCATTCAGTGACTCACACATTGTATGTGTATGTGAAGAAGACAAATCATAACAAAAAGGAGATGAAAAGTGAACTGCTAGGACTATGTGAAAAGCTGATATTTCAATTCAGTTTCTAAACTGAAAAAAAAGGTGTCATGGATTAAATCAAATTTAAAATGTGAGGATTTTTCCCATGACAGAAAAAAACAACTTATTTTTGACTTCATATAATTTTAACAAAAGTGAGATAGAGGGACTGAAGTGCCCAGTTAACCTGCTAACCTTGGTTAACAGAGGCAGTAAGAAGGGGGATATGCCTCAGCTTGACTGATTTAATATAACATCATGGTAAAGGTACTGCTGTTGGATGCAAGAGCTTCTTTATTGTAGGATTAACTTTATTTTTTCTAGTGCTTAGAGACACCTAAGCCACGTTACACAGTGTGTTCTGGAGGGAACTCTTGTACTGAGTATTTCATGGAGCTGTGGCTTGAACACAGGCGTCTCACCTTCCCCAGGGCTGTAACTTTGCAGTTATGGTTGTTCTGTCTCTGTCCTTTCCCCACCCATATGTAGGCGTTTCATGCAGACAGCACAGCTACAACAGGAGAGAGAAATTTGCCTCAGAATACCTAAAGTTAAAAGTGGTCAAGGTGCTCCTTGAGGAGAGGTGCAATTCAAACTCACATTTACTCTGCCTGCATCTGGCTCACTTAACAGGGTTTAGGCAGCCAGCTAAAAAGATTCCTGCATTTATCAGTTTGCCTTAACCAGACTACATGTGAAAGCAAGAGTTCCCTCATCTCCTCATTCTGCATGTCTCTATGAATCTAGCACCCCTCTTTCTGCCTGAAGAAACAAAATAGTGCACGATGTTTTGCAGTGTGGTTTAAAATTGCAACTTTAGTATTTTTTGAGTGGGGAGGAACGCTTTCTTTGGCATCACCACCTGAAAAGGGGTAACTTATAAAGCTTGACGTTAGTATTAAAATCATAGTTTATGTTTGTGTCCCTTTGTTTAAAGGAAATGAGAAGTTGACATATCTCTGCATGGGACTATGCCTATTCAACTAGCAGTTATCTCTCAGAGCACGAGTGAGCTAAAAATGTTATGAGATATTATTAGAAATGTATTCCTATGAGGCTCAGATATGAATTCTTTGAAAAAAATATACTCCAAAGAATGTCCATTTCCTTTGCAAATTCTGGTTGTGTCCAAAATCCAGCTAGTGAATTTATGATTTTTGGCATTAGTTTTGGCATTTAAGTGTCATGCAGTAGACCCTAGAATAAGACCTTGCTTGTTCTTCTCTCTAGGATATGCTGCAGTGGCAGGAGTGTTAAAACTCCAAAGACTTTCACACTGGCAAGCATTTGAAGAGATATTTACTTATTTTTTACTGGGGAAAAAATACTTTGTCAGTAGCATTCTCTGTCCACATTCCTGTCTTCAAAGATAAATGTAGATCAGATTTGTTTCCTTTTCTGCTGCCTTGTTGGTATAACTGATTATTCAGTGAAGTTGTGATCCCTTACTTAAGTCATTAGCTTGCTCTCTTGCAAGTGTTTTGTGAGGTCTCCAAACAATTCTGCTGGATCTCTGGCACAAGGGGTAGGATGAACCACAAAGACAGCAAATACAAACCTGGACCTTGGACGTGCGGCAAACAAAATACTGAAAAAGAAAATGAAACCGGGTTGGTTAAATAGCATATATTGTTTTTGATGGTCTGTTGAGGTATTAATGTTCCTTATAAACTTTGACCTGCTTTTGGTCATTTTAATGGTATTTTAATGTAGCATCTTACCTAAATTAATAATTTACTGCTCAA